GGGCGGGGTATAAATAAAAATTATTATTATTATTATTATTATTATTATTATTATTATTATTAAATAGTCTTTAAATTTCTTCCAATCTTCTTCCACCGACTCTTCTCCCTGGTCTCGGATTCTGCCAGTCATTTCCGCCAGTTCCATATAGTCCATCACCTTCATCTGCCATTCTTCCAGGGTGGGTAAATCTTGTGTCTTCCAATACTTTGCAATAAGTATTCTTGCTGTTGTAGTAGCATACATAAAGAAAGTTCTGTTCAGCCAGCCAATCTGACCCCCCAACGGATTGCTCATCACTCCCCCCACTCCCTCCACCAGCGCTGGCAAAATCTCACCAGAAGCCACAGCTGGCATAGATGAGAAATGCCTGCAAGCTGGGCAGCATCACCAAAGCATGCCAGCGGAAAAGGAGAGGGTGCTGGCCTTGCCTTTCCTCCCTTGATGCTGGCTGCTCAGAACTGGGACCCCTTGCATGGCCAGAGAAGTGTTCATTCCCCTCCAGGCGTTTCGATGTCTAAGGCAGCCCTAATTCTTTTCCAGCTCCAGCAGCCTTTGGCTCAGCTATCCCTAATTATTTTCAGTTGAATGACCCCAACCTACAAAAAGGCTAAATAAGGGAAAACACATCATGATTTATTGCTGAATGCAAAGTACACTTGCAGCAAAGTCTACAATCCCAAAGCAACCCTCTGTGGGGCTTACTTCTGAGTAGACATGTATAGGATTGGACTGCTGCTCTACTGTATTGGAACATATATTTTAACTGTTCAAGAAACTACAGTGTTCTAGTTAGATCTGTCACAAAGTGTTTCTGTCCTTGTCGTCGTGCTCAGGAATTGTTTGCCAATGCCAGCAGCAGTTACGCACGCATGAATGCGCCACTGGAAGAATCCTACCAAGCGCACGGAAACAATCCGCTTGTCTCTAACTGCACAGATTTGCTTCTCTGCCCAGCAGGATTTATATGCAGGTGTCTTTCCTTTGAGGAGAGGAAGAGTTGTTTTCCTCACATGGTTCTGTGTGGTTGTGGTTGTTGTCTTAAAATTCAATTGCTAACATTTCCTTTTCTTAGGATAACCCGCTACTTAATGATTTAAAAATACCTCAATCAATGCTAGTTGTCCAGAGGATTTTACTGTGAAAGTGGCCCAGCCCTTGCCAGGACTGGTTCCCAGGTTGGCAGCTGTAAGGGCTTTCCTTAGAGAGGATTCCATAACTTTGACACTGAAAGAAAAATCTCTGGACCCGTCTGTTTTGAGCAGCCAGTATCCTTTCCGGGATGTGTGCAAGCGAGGTTGTGGCACAGTTTGAAGAGGGTTTGGGTGGAACGGATGATCAGTATTGCTTCCAGTCTCGCCTTCAGCCTCACTGTGGCACGGAAAGCACCTTGGCCGCCCTACTGGGAGATCTGGGCCAAGAGATGCACCAGGAGAGTGTGAAGCAAGGAGGGCTCAGAAGCGCACCTTGGCAAATGGCACTGAAAGGGAAAGGAAGCAGGCAGGGAAACCACTGCAGTTCAGATTATGTGCTCGTGGTCAGAACTGGATTTACTCTGTGGAAATGCAAGTGGGATTTGTTGACACTAGAGCTAGGTGATACATTGTCAAAAACCGGCTTGAATTTTACTTCATGATAACTCTTTCATAATATCTGACCTGGCAATATATCGTGAATCACAACGTGTGTGAGGACTGGGTGATATCTGGTTTTCAACACTGCAATATATCACCAGCAAAACATTGCAATATATCATGATGTCTGAAATAAGGATGGAATTACAGTGGTGCCTCGCAAGACGAAAAGAATCCGTTCCGCGAGTCTCTTCGTCTTGCGGTTTTTTCGTCTTGCGAAGCAAGCCCATTAGCGGCTTAGCGGATTAGCGCTATTAGCGGCTTAGCGGGCTTAGTGGATCAGCTAGTAAGCGGCTTAGCGGATCAGCTGTTAAGCGGCTTAGCGGATCAGCTGTTAAGCGGCTTAGCGGATCAGCTGTTAAGCGGCTTAGCGGATCAGCTGTTAAGCGGCTTAGCGATCAGCTGTTAAGCGGCTTAGTGGCTTAGCGGATCAGCTGTTAAGCGGCTTAGCGGATCAGCTGATAAGCGGCTCAGCGATCAGCTGTTAAGCGGCTTACCGGCTTAGCGGATCAGCTGATAAGCGGCTTAGCGGCTTGGGAAAAAGGGGGGGAAAGGAAAAAAACCCTGCAGGAACTCGCAAGACATTTTCGTCTTGCGAAGCAAGCCCATAGGAAATTCGTTTTGCGAAGCACCTCCAAAACGGAAAACCCTTTCGTCTAGCGGGTTTTCCGTCTTGCGAGGCATTCGTCTTGCGGGGCACCACTGTATGCAGAGGCAAACAGGGTAACATCCTGGCAACTGCTACTACTTAAGGGGAAATAACGATAAATGATGATATATCAATCACCGCACGGTCCCCTTCATCAGGATGCAGGCCAAAATGTATCCACACAGGGCTTTGGGTCGAGAGGAATGAGTCTTTCCCTCCAAATGTGTGCAAGTGGATGAGACCAACCTTGAAGGACTGTTGTTGAAACACAAGACTGCAGCGCTGGGAGGGGGAATAAATAACCATAACAGAGGAGCGGAGGGAAAACCAAGGCAAGGGGGAGAGAATTCTTTGCCTGTCTGACCCAGACTGGCCTTGCAGGGCTGTAAGCAGGTCTCCTTCCAGAAACAGAGAGCGGGGAGAGAATCCCAAAACAGAGAGGCTTCCTTTACTCTGTGTCCAAGAGCTACAGCCCAGGGACGAGGAGAATGGAGAATGCATGTAGTTCTGAGAAATGTGGCACAGAATTACTGGAAGCTCCTCCACGAGGTTCAGCTTTGGCTCCAAGCACCGTCTACAGTGCTGTTAGCAGGCCTTGGACATATTCTGCCATGGAGGTGCAGCTTCAGTCAGAGACCTTCAAACTCTTCCTGAAAGAAAATGCCAGACAGGGAGAAGGGGCAGGAGGGCAGTGTGATCTTGTGGCTGACAGCCCTGGCTTCCAATCAGGGAAGGACTTTGCCAAGGCTTTCTCTGAGAACATGTTTGGGGGAGGGCTCTCCCAGAGCTGTGCCTTGGCTTTCCTCTGTGATGACAAAATAAATCTGTCAGTCACAATGGATCTTTCCCCACCCTGGTGTTTTCTTTCTATGGTAAGGTTACAGACATTGGTGTCGCTTTCAGCAGATACTTGCCTGTAAGTTTTTATTTTTAATGTCCAAATCGCTGAGGCATCATGAAGTGCTTTGGGGTTCCCACTCTGGTTTGGGGTGCTTCATACGGATCGTGCTTTGCCTGAGACTAGCCCAGAATCCCTTTAAGTCAGGGGCCGGCAAGGCTTACTGGGCATGGGCCAGATCACTCCTGCGGAGATCCTCCGTGGGCTGGGCTAGCGCAGTGTGATGCCGGAAATCGCTTCTGTGCATGCCCAGATGCCGAAAATCACGCCTGTGCAGAAGCAATTTTTGGCGTCTGGGCATGTGCAAAAGTGATTTCTGGTTTCGCGGACATGCACAGATGTGATTTCCAGTATTTGGGCATGCGCAGAAGCGATTTCCGGAGCCACGGAAGAGAGTCCTGGTGCTGTGCTGTGCTGGTTTAGTGCAGCGTGTGGGGACTCGCCGAGTGGGTGGCTCTGTTTGGGGGTGGCTCATGGGCCGGTTAAGCGACCCTCGTGGGCCGCTTCTGACCCATGGGCCTTAGGTTGCCGACCTCTGCTTTAAATCAACCAGTTTGGGATTCACAATCTTCTGCATTCCCTGCACACCTCTAGCGTCAGTGGTTTGCAATCAATTATCTGTCATCTTTCTGTGAGAAATTGGACCAAAGGACAACACACGGTTGGTTCCTTGAGTGCACATATGTAGCTATTGAAACAAGGGCCTTTTGATAAACCACCTTATGAGGCTCTCTGTCCTACATATTTGGACCCCGTCCGCCCCTCTTTTGGGGGATAGGCGACCAGCCTGGTTGTCTAACGTGTGTTATAATGATTGCGGTTTCCCCAGGTGGCTGGGCTGTCAGCAAACCAATCAAGATATATAATCAAGATATATATAAAGGATGTCATATAAAGGAGGGAGAAAGGTTGTTTTCTGCTGCTCCAGAGAAGCGGACACGGAGCAATGGATCCAAACTACAAGAAAGAAGATTCCACCTAAACATTAGGAAGAACTTCCTGACAGTAAGAGCTGTTCGACAGTGGAATTTGCTGCCAAGGAGTGTGGTGGAGTCTCCTTCTCTGGAGGTCTTTAAGCAGAGGCTTGACAACCAGATGTCAGGAGTGCTCTGATGGTGTTTCCTGCTTGGCAGGGGGTTGGACTCGATGGCCCTTGTGGTCTCTTCCAACTCTATGATTCTATGATTCTAAGATGCAGTAGGTTATCAGCAGTGATCTGAGTAGATCAAAAAGGTTGGCTTTCAGGATCAAAGACTTAACCACCTTCAAACAAAACAAAACAAAACAAAATGTATGTCCACTGCCCTCTTCTTCTGTGCTCAAGGGGAGGCATTAAGAATGCCGGCTCCCCCAGGAAGCCAGGCTGGGTGTTACAGATTCTCCCTCGGATTAATATGGGCTGGAGGGAAAGGGATCTGCCAGGTGTATCTCAAACTATAGAATTGCCATTGCAATTGCAAGAAGAGTGCCACTTGCCCTCTCTGATATTTCTAAAGCAGCACTGAATTATTACCAGGTTGAGGGAACTCAGCTCTCATGACCATATTTTTTGATCTGAAAAGAGGAAGGAAAGAAAAAAAGGGCCTCTGTTTATTTACGTGCTGTAAATCATTCAGGTGTGTTTCACGAGGGACTGAAATTGAACGATGCAGCTACAAGCACCGACCCTGAGCAGAGGATTAGAGGCAAACAGCAGACTTCACCCCAAAGCATTTCACAGCACGGATTTAGTTCCTAAATGCGGGTGTCTAAAGGCAGAAGGAAGACTTTGCTAGGAGCAGGCGTGATTCACCCCCATTTGCTTTGTATTCCAAAACAGAAAAGAAGAAAGGGAGGCATGCTGCCTTTTGCCCACTAAGCACCCAGACCGTCCTCCTTCCTGTCCATGAGGCACCCAGGAAAGTATTCAGCCAGACAATGGAGCCTACGGGGACCAAGATGGCCTTGCTCAGCAACGTCCTGGCAGCCTATTCCTTTGTCACAGGTAGGCCCCCCCCTGGCCACCACTTCTCTTTGCTCAGGGGGTCAGCTATCTTTTTCATCAGGGGGCCGGTCCACTGTCCCTCAGTCCTTGTGGGGGGCCAGTCTATATTTTGAAAAATATAAATACCCTGCAAGCTGGTCCCGCAGCTGCCTCCGGACCTGGAGGAGGAACGCACTCTGCACGTGCTCAGGAGCACGTCTCGGCACCGCCTACTCACCGGCGTTGTTGATGCGCAGCAGCCGCTCCATGTGCCCGTCCCCGCGGAGCTCCCAGGCGGCGTGCACCAGGCGCTGTGGCCCGTCGTCCGAGGCCAGGTGCACGCGGAGCACCAGGCAGGCAGCCTGCAGCTTGCCCTCCAGCTGCTCCAGCAGCAGCGTGAGCCAGGCGCCAGGCCAGCAGGCACGCCAAGCTCCGGTTGAAGCCCCGCAACACACCCGTCACGATGCCCGTGGCACCACCCAGAACCGCCGGCCTCTCCGTCCAAGGCCATGCCGGGTTTACCACGGCGCGCGGGCGGCAAGGCTTCGGATTAGCTGCAGGAACTCCAAAGCTGCGCCAGCATCGCCGCCCGCCCAGAAGCCATGCCAGCATCGCGGAAGTCAGTCCCCGCGTGGCAAGGCGTCCTCAGCATGTGGGGACTCACCGAGCAGGCGGCAGGGTTCGCGGGCCGGATTTAGGAGCCTGGGGGGCCACATCCGGTCCCCAGATCTTAGTTTGCCGACCCCTGTGTTTACTGGATGTTTCATGAGGCTGTATCAGGGTATCTGAATATCACATTTCAAGGCTGGAGGAATTATTATTATTATTATTATTATTATTATTAAAGCTTTTTGATTTGTTTTTGTCAACCAGAGAACAAAAGGAGTCCAGAAAAGGGAGCGCTGTGTGCATTTTCTGTGGTTTCTGATGCCCTGCTAGCTCACTGTGTTTTGTGCACAATTCTGCTCCACCAAAAGAGAGGACAGAAGAGGCCTCACACTTGCATAGAACTTGCATGGTGTTAATTGATATGTATATATGCAAATTTTAATGGTGATTTAAATTTCACATAAAACAAGTCAGCCAGTTTCCCACCACATCACCCCAATCTTGTCTATTAAATTGGACCCCACCTTATATTATCCCCAGCAATTCTTCCATTAGTTTATCACCCAGAGTCCAAAATAAACTCCCCTTCAATTAATTATCCCCATTCATCATCAGCCACATATCATTTACATCGTTTCACATGAAAGGAATGAGAGGTAAAAAGGGTGGTGGAGATTCTCCCTATGAGACAAAGGAGCCAGTAGGTAAGCTGTTATACATTTACTGATTTTTTTCAAAAATATTTAAGCAGAAACCGCCAGCCAGTAGCTGAGCTTCCACCTCAGATGTACCAGGGCAGGGGGGGGCGACACCACAGCATCTCTGTGCCATAGCAATACTTCTGAATTAGGATTGGCGGAGTGTTGGCCAGAGAAGGATTTTTAACAGCTCGGGCTGGTTCACCAGTTGGAAGAAGAGAGCCCAGCTGCTGTGCTGCCTCCTCCTTCTTGAAGCGGGTTTACCCTGGAAGCTGCTGCAGGATATGGTCACAAAGATGCTCCCTGGCCCACCTGGGGGGGGACCATGTTGCTGCTCCTTGGTTCCTGGGCCCCCTTGAGGGCGTTAATGCTGATATAGGAAACTTTAGATGGCTTGGGGCCCATGTTTCCAATAGAGGGCCTCTTCCAGTATTAGCCAACTGGGCTCTGAGAGGGGCAGAGGGACCCCCTTTGCTGTCCTGCTGGAAGATGGCCCTTTCTTACGACGAGGGAGCTACCTTACTGGGCTTACGATGCCAGGCCAAACCCATCGATTTACCCAGGCCCTGGGTGGCAGTGACAGAGAAAGTGCCTGGAGGCTGGGGTTGATCACGCTACTCTATTTTGCCGTGTTATTTCAGTAGTAGCAGCAATTTATTAATGTGCTCTTATTTGAAGTTCGTCCCTTTATGAACTTCAAAGTGGCAAATACTTCTTTTTCATTCTTAAGATTAAAGACCTCCTCACTGAGGAGCCAACTCTCTGTCCTGTAATTTAGAGAATTAATGATACAGGTATATTTACTCAGCTCAAGAAAACTTGGCTTCTCTTCAACTGAAGTGTGAAAATGAAGTAATTGATGGAATGTCAACATTTTGAATAAATGTTTCCTCGGGTTACAACATTTATCTTTCATCTACCCTTGTGTTGTACTCCTTGCATGATATCTTTCAGTTCCTTTCCCCATATAATTATTCCTTTGCAACATGGGAATTATGGGTTTCATACCTATGTTTAAATTTGCTAGGACTGGAATTTGCTAGGGATGAGTAGATTGCCCCATTTTGTTCCATTATTCTGTTGCTTTCCTGTTTTTTCTTGGGTTCTACCCCACTGCCAAGGAGAAAACAAACAAAGTCTTGTTTCTATTAAAGGAGGAAATGCCTATTCCTTCAGCTTTTAAAAAACAGAGTCTCTCTGCTGAATTGCACCAGTGCCACAGCAAGGGGCCTTTTAACTTCTAGGCTTCAAGTTACTTCTAGGCTTCTTTTAAAACTAAGGCTGGCCCTATAGTTTCACTCTTTTTTAAACAAAAACAATAACTTTTTTCAAGGTATGGGTAAAAATAGAAAGTAGCCTGCCACCCCGTCACCATGAGTGGTACAAGATTCCAGGGGTTCCAGGCGCGTCTCCAGAGTTCATGTTTCCTTTGGGAATGAGGCACAGCAGAAACTGTGGCGCCTTTAGGATATATGGTTTATAGACACAACGTGAGCCTTTTTTGGAGGGGTTTCCAGCATTAGCATCCCAAAAGGGTCTTGTTTCTCCCATAGCCCCCGCTTTGGATTCATACAGACCTCAAGCATTGCTCTCCAACATTGCTCTGACTCTTCTGCTTACTGCAGTGTTTGCCCATCATATTATTACTCCTCTTCCTTACACCAAGCTTCTAGATCACATTTCTTCTCACTTTCTACTCTGGCTTTATCTTTGGAGGAAGGAGCCTCACCCTTTTGCCATCTCAAACAGAGTCCTTTTGATCCATTGTTCTCTTAATGGCCATCATCCCTGACCACTGGTCCTGTTAGCTAGGGATAATGGGAGTTGTAGTCCCAAAACATCTGGAGGGCTGAGTTTGCCTATGCCTGAGGTAGAATAGAGATACCTTGCCTGGTAACCTTTGATAGCCTTGCCCTTGGTGAATCTTGTCTAATCTTCTCTTAAGCCATACGTGTTGCAGGCATCACTGCCCAGAGCCAGTTCCATTGTGGAACCATGCGCTTTCCTGAATCTGCCAACGTTCCACTTTATTGGATGCCCACAAATTCCGGGAGGAAAACTTCTCTACCCACCTTCTCCACAATAGACATGATTTTATAAACTTCTTTCAAGTCACTTCATACTCACTTTCCCCCTAAATTAAAAGACCCAGCCTGGGGTTGGTGGAGGAACTGTGCCTGGATTGACAGGTGACAGTTTTGAGGCAGCTCAGGATCTAGCGGATCCTAGGTTAGCTTGGTCCCTCCCCCATGTGGGTGCTTCTGCAGTGCTTAGCTCATGGGGCACCCTTCAGTCAACCTTCCTGCAGCTGCGATGGGGACCTGCGCTCTTGGATGCTGGCCCTGCAGGGTGGGCAGGGGGCAGCTTTTGGCTGCATGATTGGGGGTGTGGGGGTGTGTGTCTTGGGTCGCAGCCTCACTTTGTCCCTCAAGTAATCTGGTGCAGAGGGAAGCCAATAGTATGGGTTTGGTACCTCTGTCCTGCCCACAGCAGTAGGTCTGCCATAGCGGCCGGGGTTGTTTGAAGCTCAGGACACATTCAGTATAACCTCTGTGGATGGTGCCATTTTATGACTTCGCCTCCATTATCATTCATATTTAAATCATTATTTTAATTATTGCTAAAATGCTTTTCTGATATGCTCACCACTCTTTCTTTCAATGGAAGAATTATAGCATTATAACAGCACGCCGTACTGCTATAATTCATTATATGAGCATTGCTATAACACACTAGTCCAGTCACAATATAACAATGACTGAATTATAGCATCACATAAAAAGGGGGTGAATGCAGTGTAGCAAATTCAAAATTGTATTCCTAGCGTTGGAGGCCCCCAAATGAAATGCATTCGTGTACAACTTGGGCCTGGAAGCACTCCTTAAGGATTTACTTTTCCCAAACACATTAAATATTTTAGTTGCATGTCTCGCTTTAATTTCTCACCTCAGTGTGTCACCATCTAACTAGATCACTGCCTTCTCTAATGACTTACTCCTTTGACTTTCTCCTAGTTCTCTTTATCCTGCATCTCGAAGGTCCAGGTGTGTGTTCAGTCCCCCACCACATCTCCCACAACAGATTGTGTCTCAACTAGATCACCTCATCTATATTTTCTTAATATGAGCCTCACATCCCTTTCCTCCCCACTCCACCCTACTCTGAGGCTCAACCTTATCTCTGTCCCCTTGTTTGGTGGAAAGCCAAAGGATTACAAAGCTGTTTAAAATTCATGTTTTCTTTGTTGGGCATTTCATTTCATCCCTCTGCACCCTTTAAAAAACATTTCCTCTTCTACATTTCAGAAAATCCTGAGCGAGCTGCTTTGTATTTTGTGTCTGGCATTTGTGCAGGCCTTCTCCTGACCTTGCTGGTTTTAGTACTCCGAATCTCCTGTCAAACTGATTGCAAACCATTGCAAACCAAAAAGCCATCGCGGGACAGTGACACCAATGGCAGTGACAGCGACGATGACTCAGACACTGCGTCCGACCTGTCTGCTCGACGGCACCGCAGGTTTGAAAGAACACTGAATATGAACGTTTTCACCTCGGCTGAGGAGCTAGAGCGAGCTCAAAGGCTGGAAGAAAGGGAGCGCATCATACGAGAGATTTGGATGAATGGGCAGCCAGATATCCCAGGAACCAGGAGCCTAAACCGTTACTACTAACAGCTGGCCACTGCTACCACCTGGTCCAGCAGTCACAGAATCCTCTAAACCTGTTGCTACTCAGGGAAGAGGGGAAACTCAAGAGTTCCCAAGGCAAGCTAACCTTAAGTTTTGCCTCCATTTTCCCCAGGCAAATTGCCATCAGGGATTTGCTCACAGACATCTATTGCTGTTGCTGTTTTTTTGGAGCAGAGGGGACATACCAGACAAAAAACTCACTTTATATTGATTTGAAAGCATCTATATCATGGATTTTTTTTTTTACCACATACCTGGCAAGGATGAGATTTGCTTGTATATTGTTTTAACAATCGGGATCCTACTAGAGGCAGGGCTGTAGCTAGGAGGTGGTGAGGTGGGCCTCCGCCAGAGGCACAGGCAATTGGGGGGCACAAAATCGTCTGAAAAATATGTCCATAAATATAAATATTGATTATTGCCTCATAAGAAATGGTTTTAAATAGAGGGCGAATTGAATGGGGGGGGGTCGGGTTGGAAGAGAGGAGGGAAGAAGAGCTAATTTGTCCATGGCTGGGGGTGCAATTTGGATGGTTCTGCCAGGGGCGCAAGATCACCTGGCTATGACTCTGCCTAGAGGTGATTAAAATACAGTGTTGGTGAAGAGGGAACCGAAGCAATAAGTCATGATGAGGTTTGCAACATTGGGAAATTGTGGAATTAACCCATGTACAAAAAAACCAAACCTTCAGAACTGAGTATTCTCACACTATGAAACTATCTTGGTGCTTAGATGCTCAATATTCTGTCTTGTTATTTAAGGCTGTTTCAAATCTTGCTTTAGTGGCAGCAATTTTTTAAAAAACTGTTATCTCAGGGATAAAATCCTTCTCCCAATACAAGTTCCCCCATCCTTTCCCCCCATCCAATATTTTTCTCATGGGGGCTTGTTATTGCAGAAGTTGTCAGTGGTGAGTAAACTGTTAAAAACCTCAAAGGTTGAAAGGTTTTGTGAGTGTTTGTGAGAGTGCGCGCGTGCACACGAACACACACACACACACACACACACACACACTGCTGTGCAGTGCCTTACTGATACTAAACTGTAGTTTTCTTATTAGCAGTTATGCATAAATATTTCATATACAGTATTATATTCCCCCTTTCCCACCAAAAATAGTTTTTTTCACAGTTGCATTGCAGGAATACAATGGGAGCAAGAGTGGCTTAAAAAAACCACACAAGGATGAATTTACTTGCTTCAATTTTTTAAAAAAAATATCAATCTTCTGTTTCAGGTAAATGCACTAGAACATAAATGATTTTTGTACAGATTCCCCAAAACTGCAGACCTTCCAACATTCCTTAGATGGAAATAGGGACATTTCTCCCTCCCTCCCATTTTTGCTCCCCTCCAGAGCATTTCCTGTCCGAAGTAAGGCGAGTGCTGACACCCCTAAGCCAACAGGGCACAGCGCACCTCCAGCGCCCTGAGAAAACCCCTTAATCTTGATTTTGTTTTGTTTTGTTTTATTCTTTGCTAGATTTACAACAAGAAAAGCACACACGAAACCTAAATTTTACAAGGGAGCAAGGCTAGACATGGATGAACTAAACATTTTTTTTAAAAAAAATCAAGATGCTTTGCCACCCAGGGTGGCCCTGCCCTCTGCCTGCCCCTCAGAGCCAGGGCATTGTGTGGGGCTGGGCGCCTCTGCTGGTGGCGGCATCCTCTCCTCCTCTTCCTCACCTGCTCTCCAGCAGCCACTACAAGCTGCCCAAGGGTGGAGAGGCCATGGGGTGCTCCCTTGCAGCCCCCATCACTCAGGACAAGCGCCGGCTCCTCCTCCTCCCCCAGCTCAGCAGCAGCAGCGCCACCATCGGAGGGGGGGGGGATAAGGACATTCTGGGGTCAAATCAGGAGCCGGGTTTTGTAATTCCAGGATGGTCCCTGGAAAATCGAGGCCCTTGGAGGGTATGAAGTTGCTGCAACTGAGAAAACAGCTGTTTCATCCTGTTCATCTGGCCTTAGGGTCTGAACACAACCAAAATCTTCCTCGGTGGCCCAAGCATTCCCAGAAGGAACAGCCCAAGCTTTCAGCAGGATCGGAGTGGGCCTGATCCTGTAAACATAAACTAGGCTCCTTGCTTTTATAACCGGTTCAAGTCATTTCTGCTGGAAGTTGTTGGCTGGTTTGCACACACGGATCCCGGATGTGAAACTGCTCAGTGGCCTTAGATATATTAAAGGTGATAAAATGTTTTCTGCGTTTCTTATGTCTACCAGGCATTAAGAGCCTGACAAGGAGTTCCAATGAGTTAATAAGGCTTCCTTTCCTTCTTCCCGAACCTACAGTGCTGCTAGTTAACTCTTCTGCTGCACACAAATAAAATTGTACAAAACAAAAACAAAGCCATTTAACACTGGGTCCTTGGCATGTGAAGTCTGTGTCAAGGGGCTGACATTTTCCCTCAGACCTTCAGATACACGCTCAGCCGTTTCTAAACTTTAGGTTAACTGTTTCTATAAGTCTGTTCTGCTAGGACTCTTCCTGTGGGTCTAGACAGCTATCTCTCTCTGTCTTTGTGCCCTTAGGTCACGAACCACCCATGCATTTTTGTCTCTGCTCCTGCTGGCGCCTTTTAGTATGCAGCCTCCACAGCATCTGGTGACTGCAGAGTCAAACAGGCCTTTGGCCATCTTACTTTTGTAGTTAAAAGCCTATGCAACTAAAATGTCACTCAGCAGTGATGACTGGTGTCCATCTGGACGGGAAGAACTGAGGGCAGAGAGCAGGACAGCCAGTGGTAGGTGGAGCTGGCCATCTTTTGGTACTCCTCTTCCTCCCTTCCAAGGACACGAAGAAAACGTAAGCACCTCAGTCCAAGACCTTAACAACTACCGGAACAGTATTATCTTAAAGTAGACTGGTTCATGTAAATGGCTGTCTTTGCTTGCTGCCTCTGCCGATTTCTAAACTGGAGATAAAATCTGTGACTGACCTGCCTCTCAGCTCCAGTGTGGCAGGGAGAAGTACCCAGGGTCCAACCAGGAGATGAGTTGCCATGGATCGATGACCATGAAGGAAAAATGGAAATTAAATTGTAGAAGATGACGCTAAAAGATATTTAGGATTATTTGTTTCTTTGTGTCTACGGGACATCCAGATTTTGTGAAATTTCCTGGAATCAAATGGCAGCCACATTAGAGCACATTTCACAAGCCATATTTTGAACTTCGTTAGCACTGTCCGGGCGCTCTTCCAGAGTAGAGAGTCCAGGCCTGGGTGGTGGATTTTCTCTCTCCTGGAAACCTGCTAATGTTCTTTTGCTAAGAATGGTCTCTTAGGTTCTCTTTCTAGGTTCCCTCCTGACAAGTAGGGCTGCTAGTATTCCTGTTTTCTTACTTCAATTAAATATATTTCAGCGAATTCTTGTCCCATATTCCCATGACTCATGAAATACAGCTTTAAAAAACAACAACTTGCTTTGCTATACATGTACCTCCCCACAAAGGGCTCCACCAGACTTCACTTGTGGCACTGCTTCCCCCTGGGAAAACCTGCTATTTCCTGCTGAATTGGAGCAAACAACAATCAGATTTTCTGCACATTGTCGTTTGCTCCGATTCCATGCTAAAGAGCGGGTTTTCCTGGGGAAAGCAGTGTGCCAAATGGGAAACCACTGGGACCTGTTCTTTCTAGACACGGGTCAAGTGGAAAGTGGACGAGCCCAAAGTCTTTTTCTTCTCCCTAAACAATGTTTTTATTTTCATGTATTAAAAAAGTGGTTTTCTCTTTCTCTCCCCAGTGTTTTAAATGTTTTTCTTCTCCCTCTCTCAGAAAGTGGGAAATTGCTCCTTAAAAATAAGTTTTTAAAATTAAGTTTGACATTTTAATCAACATAATCTATCAACATAAATCACACAAAGCAATAAACATACATCCCCTTTCCCCCCACCCAGGGACTTCCCTCAACCTCCCCTTTTGGATCTTTAAAAAATATTTTCTCATTCTGCATATTTTAAAATATCTTAATATCATTCTCCTTTGCCTAAATGCTCTATTTTTTCCAAATTTTATACCAAACCATTAAAATCCCATATTCTATCTATTTGTTTTCAAATCATTCTTCTACATCTTTCACATTCTATTTTACTCAAACCCTGCTAATGAGCCTTTTTTTAAAAAAACACAATATTTCTGCATATACAGTGGTAGCTCGGGTTACATACCCTTCAGGTTACAGATGCTTCAGGTTACAGACTCTGCTAACCCAGAAATAGTACCTCGGGTTAAGAACTTTGCTTCAGGATGAGAACAGAAATTGTGCTCCGGCAATGTGGCAGCAGCGGGAGGCCCCATTAGCTAAAGCGGTGCTTCAGGTTAAGAACAGTTTCAGGTTAAGAATGGACCTCCGGAACGAATTAAGTTCTTAACCTGAGGTACCACTTTATAATGTAAACGCATTCCAGTCTTTTTAAAATTCTCTATTATCTTTATCTCTTAATTTAGCTGTAATTTTCACCATTTCTGTATATTCCATCAGTCTAAGTTGCCAGTCTTCTTTCGTTGGCATCTTGTTGTCCTTCCATCTTTGGGCTAAAAGGATCCTGGCAGCCGTTGTGGCATACATAAATAAGTCCTTGACTTCTTTTGGTATTTCTTGTTCCGTAATGCCTAATAAGAAAGCTTCTGTTTTTTTAATTAAATGTTATTTTAAACATCTTTTTCTTTTCATTATAAATCTCTTCCCAATAACTTTTAATTATTTTACAATTCCACCACATGTGGTAAAACATCCCTTCTTTCTCTTTTGCACTTCCTGCATATACTGGAAATTGTTTTGTACATTTTGGTTAATTTAACTGGAGTCATGTACTATTGATACATCATTTTCATATAATTCTCTTTCAAAATTACACAATCCGTAAATTTTAAATCAATTTTCCTTAATTTCCCCCACTTTTTCATTTGTATATTATGTCCCATATCTTGTGCCCACTTAATCATTACAGATTTAACTTCTTCATCTTTAGTTTCCCACTCTAACAGCAGACTATACATCTTCTTCATCGTTTTAGTATTATCATCTACAATTTCTCTTTGAAATCTAGACAGAGTATAACTAACTCCTTTCTTTTTGTCTTCTTTAAATGCCTCATTTACTTGAAAATATTGTAACCAATCATTTATATGCTAATATCCTTAAAATCTTTCAACTTTCACTTCCCTTTCGTTTCTGTTTCCCTATATGTAAGCCATTTTTCCTTCTTATCTATTTTCCTATAGATGTTGCTTCTATTGGTGACAGCCACCAATCTTTATACCTCTCCCACATTTTTGAAAGTGATCTTCTGATTATATGGTTATAGAATCCTTTATGTATTTTCCCTTCATCGTACCATTCATACGCATGCCATCCGAACCTGTTGTCATG